GCTTTGGCTTTGGCCTTCCAGCAGTTTTTTTGGGAGGGTTTAATGTTTGTGTGACAGGAGTAGGTCTGAGAGTGAGACTTTGTACAAATGGTTCAGGGCAGCACATGGAGGTCCTCCAAGGGTTGGAGCCCCTCTGCTCTGGAGCCAGGCTGGGAGAGCTGGGGGGGTTCCCCTGGAGAAGAGAAGGCTCCAGGGAGAGCTGAGAGCCCCTTCCAGGGCCTAAAGGGGCTCCAGGAGAGATGGAGAGTGACATGGAGGGACAGGACAAGGGGCAATGGCTTCCCACTGCCAGAGGGCAGGGTTAGATGGGATATTGGGAAGAAATTCTTCCCTGTGAGGATGGGGAGACCCTGGCACAGGTTGCCCAGAGAAGCTGTGGCTGCCCCTGGATCCCTGGAAGTGTCCAAGGCCAGATTGGCTGATACTTGGAGCAGCCTGGGCTAGTGGAAGGTGTCCCTGCCCATGGCAGGGGGTGGAACGAGATGGGCTTTAAGGTCCCTTCCCACCCAAAGCATTGTGATGATGATTCTGTGGTTCAGGCCCCCTGGGTGAAGCCCTGAGCTCTGGGTGGGTCTCACCAGCCGTGGTGGTGTTTGATTGCACGGGGGCATTTCTGCCACAGCAATCTGTGCTGCAGTTCACAGCTCTGACATTCTGGTTTTTGGGGGTTGTAGGGAGTGTGTGGAGTACGTGAAGAGCTTCAACATCCCCCTGCTGGTCCTGGGAGGAGGTGGTTACACAGTCCGGAACGTGGCACGGTGCTGGTGAGTCTCTTCTCTGCACTGGGAGAGCAGCTGCTGTGGCATGTGTCCCTGCATTTACCATGTCCCTTTCTCTGGACTAAGATCACCTTTTTCCACGTTTTCAGGACTTATGAAACGTCGTTGCTCGTAGATGAAGCGATTAGTGAAGAGCTGCCATACAGTGGTAAGTTGGAGTTCCCTTTTTACCTCGTTAGCTGAGCTAAAGAATTTGTTCTATTCTATTCTGCATTGACCAGAGCCAAAGTGACAGCACCTTCTGATCGTGGAGATGGCCTTAGTGATCCCTGGAAGCTTGGAATGGCTTCCCACTAACAGAGGGCAGGGTTAGATGGGGTTTTGGGAAGAAATCCTTCCCTGTGAGGATGGGGAGACCCTGGCACAGGTTGCCCAGAGAAGCTGTGGCTGCCCCTGGATTCCTGGAAGTGTCCAAGGCCAGGCTGGAAGGGGCTTGGAGCAACCTGGGCTAGTGGAAAGTGTCCCTGTCCATGGCAGGGGGGTGGAATGAGATGAGCTTTAAGGCCCCTTCCCACCCAAACCATTCTGGAATCTCCTACTACCCACTGTAGACTTTGCTGGGCAGACACATCCTGGGTCATTTAACTTGGATCATTTCCTACTCAGTGAGCCCAGTGTTGCTGTTGTTTGCTCTGTTTTGCTGTGCAGTCTCTTGCAGTCAGGGCTGTACCTCTCTGTGCTGTTCAGGCCCTGTCTCTGGTGGGCAGGGTGAGGCTGAGCTGTGCTCTCTGCAGAGCTCCTGTCCCTCTGGGCTCTAACTCTGCCTCCTCCCACCACAGAGTACTTTGAATACTTCGCTCCAGACTTCACCCTCCACCCTGATGTCAGCACAAGGATTGAAAACCAGAACTCCAGGCAGGTGAGTGCTTACAATTGTGTTGTAATCTCAGCTATGAACTTCCAGGACCCTGGGGTTGATGCTCTGTCCTGTGAAACCAGGTAGAGCCCAGGTAAGGGCAGAAAACGGACAAAACCCAAGAACCATCCCTTTCTGGGATGTCAGGAAATCCCAAACCATTTGAGACCCTTGCTGGGTTGTCTCACTGTTTCCTGTGTGCTTGAGCATCAATGATTGAAGTAACTCTCCCACCTCCTCTGCTCTGATAAATGGCTTTTCGCACACATTTTTCTCCCCTTAGGTGGTGCAGGCAGGTAACAGTGCTGACTGACGGCCCCACTGGTGATCCCTGTCTGTTTTTTCCATGCAGTATTTGGATCAGATCAGGCAGACCATATTTGAGAACCTGAAGATGCTGAACCACGCTCCCAGTGTGCAGATCCACGACGTGCCCTCGGACCTGCTCAGCTACGATCGCACGGATGAGCCCGATCCTGAGGAGAGAGGCTCTGAGGAAAACTACAGCAGGTACCAGAGCTTGTTCTGGAGAAATGGGCTTCCCTTTCTGTCCCTGCTGGGATGGGTGGGTGATAGACTGGAGACTGTGTTTCCTAGAACAGCTAACAAGTCATAGAATCTGAGAACGGTTTGGTTTGGAAGGGACCTTAGAGATCATCTTAAGTGTATCAAAACCTTGGCATGTTTAATTTTAAGTTGCCAACTTTTGTTTTCCTATCACAAAGTTATGGCTATACTGCCAATGCCAGGTCTGCTTAGTTTGACTGAAGGCTTTAATATGACTTAAACATTAAAAGCTCTCAGTACCCCAGAAAATATAATTTCACACGGTGACATTCAACATTCGAGTGCCAGTGGGTTTGTACTGTCTTTTGGTCAAGTTCCTTTACACTTCCAAAGAAGCACTTTTAGGCTTACAACAATAAATTATTTGTCGAAAATGTTCAATAAATATTACACAAAACTAGCAGCAAAAAGTGTCTAGAAATCTGTCATGTGCAAATAGTTCGGCAGACACCTCTAGGTCTCAAGTTTCACGTAGAGAGCTTCTCTAGGAACATGTGGTGTTCTTATATGACATTCCACAGGGTGATTGGGTGCAGGGCATCCCCTGACCTTAGGCCCCAGGTGTGCCAGGGCTCCCTCTCCTCCCTGACAGGGGTTTCTCTTTGCCCAGGCCCGAGGCTGCCAACGAGTTTTACGACGGTGACCACGACAACGACAAAGAGAGCGACGTGGAGATCTGAGGCTCTGGACTGCTGGGCATCCCACGTTGGACAGGGATGCTTGGAGCACTTAACTGGGCTGTGTAGGAGCCCTCCCTTCATCTTAGACTGCACATGGTGGCAGCAGGAACAGCACCACTGCAGGATTCTGCCACCCGGAGAGGCGGAGAACAGTGAAACGTGTTCCTGAGTTTCCACCACGTGTCACGGTTCCAGCTGTCACTGCTCTGGGAAAAGGGATCCATGCTGTGTGCTGGCTGGCAGCCTTGGCACTGCCTTCAGAGGCTTACCTGTGCTCTGTGACTCCCCTGCAGGCTCCTGCCAGCCAGGAGCTGGAGCAGCTGTGCCTGCCATCTCTGCCTCTGTTCCGGCACCACCGGATGCATCCTGCTCTCCCCAGCCCTCCACTCAGGTACCACTCGACTGTGCTCTGCAGCCTGCACTGAGTTGCTTCCTGATGGCCCTTCCAACCCTTTGATGCTCCACAGCTCGAGGAAAACTATTGGAGACCAGGCCAGTTGTGGGGTCAGGGTGGGGAGTGTCCCTGGAGCAGGGAGCAAGGGATGGAAGGATGTTTGCAGAGCCTAGGCTTGTTCCTTCCCCCCACACCCAGATTTGCATTCACAAACGAGTTCTGCAACACTCTGCTGAGTTGGGAGACCCAACTTCCCTGGTGTGTTTGTTCTCCAAGAGGCTAAAATCCCTGTGGAACAAGGTCAGTACATGGTGTGTCTTACACCTCTAACACAGCTCCCTGCTGTCTTTTCCACGTTCACACATGGCCCTTCTGTGTGTTAGCAAGAGATTTGGGCTGCTTGCTCCGAGGGGAAACCATTCCCTCTTGACTGCACCCAGCAGACATGGGTGAGGGAAGCTGCTTCCTCCAAGTCCTGTGTCTTTTTGCCCTCACACAGCAGAGATTTGTCTCAGCCATCCCTCAAATCCCAGACTTTGCTGCTCCCTCTCCCGAGCTGTCACCTGGTACCTGTGGTGGTTTGGAAGTGCTGTTTGGGGAGCTGGGAGGGTTTAGCCTCTGTCTGTACGGTTCTGTTTGTTTACTGATGTCTTTAAACATTAAATAAGAGGCAGTATTTTTCTTACCTGACCTGTTGTTTGTCTGTTTAATCCTCACACCTTTCTTTCTGGCTCCTATTTTCCCAAGGATCAAGCACATCCCTGGCAGGGTAGTGTCATCCACTGTCTGAATGAATGGAGGGAATTCTCCTCAGAGTAAATGCTGGTGAGTTTTCAGCTTCACTGCACATGAGGAGAGCACCCTGAACTCCCTTACAAGAGGCCAAGTGTAGTGGACACTCCTGGTTATGCCTCTGAATCCAGTAAAAGCTTTGCAGGAAGCTGCAGAGCTGATGCAGGAAATCTTTCCTGCTGTTATTTTATATATCATGCTTTCTTTGTGTTGCAGTGCCCATAACAGCCTGCTCTTTTTGCACTCTCACTATCCCAAATCCCTTGGTGGTGGCTGGTTTGTGGTTCATGTAACTACAACCTGAGATAGTGGCAGGTGTCCCTGCCCATGGCAGGGGGTTGGAATGAGGTGATCCTTAAGTTCCTGTCCAGCCCAAACCATTCTGTGATTCCATGATTCCCTGTGATTTAACTACCAAGGGCCAGATCAGAAGTGGTTTTGCACACACCAAATTGAGCCACGTGAGGTTTTGCCACCGGGTACTGGGGATTTGGTTCCAAAAAGGGTCTCAGGGGAAAGAAGACTCGAGGCTGTAAATATAAAGACACTTCTGGGCACTGACTGTGGGTGAGTACTCTGGAGAAGCCTTGCTGTGTGCTGACCCTGGGCTTGTGCCATTCCTGCGTTTATTTGGCCACTGGGCTACACAGACCTTACTCTGACCCCTGTTTGATCAGCTGTATTTGTTCCTAGTGTTCTGCACCTGAGAAAATGTTCTTGGCAGCTCAGGAGACACAAAATGCTGCTCCACTCACTGGCCAGACTCGGGGAATAACAGAAAACAATGGAATATAAATTGGTTTCTTCCTAGCTTGCCATCTCCCCTGGTGTCACAGAGCTGGTGTGTTCCCTCTGCTGCTGTCACCACCCTTATGGCAAAACTGATTCACAGCAGGAATCCAGGCTCCCACCTTGTGTCTGGAATAAAAAGGGAATTTCCCCCTGTAATTCTCTTAGCCATGAAGATGGACACGACTTCACCTTGCAGACCCCCTAGCCACCTCTTCCCCCAGCACTGCCCAGGCTTTGTCTTTTCAGAGTTCCACTGTCTCCTGTGTTTTGAAACAGGGCTGGGGTCTGGAGCATCATCTCACCCGGGTTTTTAAAGGTGGATTTGTTTTCCCTGCTTTTGGAAATGGCTGGGACAGAAGTTTGGTCTGCAGAGATCTTGCTCTCCGGTGTTTCAGGGCTGCTGGAGCCACATTTATCCCTGACATCACCCTGTCATGGGCTCCAGGGTGAGAGCAGGGTGAACCTGACACCCTCACACTCCTTGATACCCCAGGTAAGGTGGCACACCTGAAACTCCACATCACTGGCACCAAACTGCTTTAGGCTGCCCCCTAAAACACGGGGTGGGCTGGCAAAGACTGCAGTTAATGCTTCAGGGGAGAGGCTGAAAGGAGACCTTGAAGGCACTGAGAGAAAAGGCTTCATGCTCCCGTTCCCTGCCTGCAGCCTCACTCCAAGCACTTCAGTGAATGTCCAGCCACCAGCAGCAACTCCTTCCCACCACCTTCTCCACTCCTTGGTTGTTCTGGAATGAGGAATGTTCTCCTGCCCTCGGCTTCGGATCAGAGGGAGCCTGTGCACCTCGACTGCTTCCACGGGGATTGTCTCCAAAGAAAGTTCTCAGCCAGCTGTACAACACACGGGACTAAGGTAGGACCTACCTTTTAAGGGCCACCTCACACCTTGATCTGTCAGCCCAGCAAAGCTCATCCTCGTGTCTCCCCTCACATCCCCCTGGCTGAGGGCTGTCAAGGCCCTGCTTTCTGTACTCTACAGAAAAGACAAGGTGGGTAGAAGTGGGTGATTCCCTCTTTGCCTCAGCGAGCAGAGAGGACAGGACAGAGCACTGAGGGACCTGCAGTTCTCCAGAATCCGTGGGCAGGCCTGGCACCTGCCTTCCTCTGCCACCTCTGAAGGCTCTGTGGGCTGGAAGGTCCTTCAGGCTGAGAAAGCTGGGGCTGTTCAGCCCAGAGAAGAGAAAGTTCCAATATCTGAAGGGGCCCACAGGAGAGCTGAAGAGGGACTCTGCAGCAGGAGCTGCAGTGACAGACAAGTGGGAATGGCTTCACACTGACAGAGGGGAGGTTTAGGTTGGATACACTGAAGAAATTCCTCCCTGTGAGGGTGGTGAGGCCCTGGCACAGGTTTTGCGAGAAGCTGTGGCTGCCCCATGCCTGGAAGTCCCTCATGGGGATGTTATTTCCATTTCAAACAGGCCAAATTCCCTGTTTCTGGGCACTGGGAGTCCTGGTGCAGAGCTGTGTTTGGACACCAGGTGGCATCTGGATCTCTGGGATCCAGTGGAGGCTCCATTCCTTGCTGCAGTCCCTGTGTGCAGTCCTGCTGCAGAGCCTGGCAGGGCCAACTGCACTCCAGGGAGTGGGTTTTTTGGGGGCTCAGGGTCCTGGCTGTGCTCTCAGAAAGCTCTGGGGGTGCTGGGGTGCCTCCAGCCTCTGCAGAGCCCCTCAGAGGTAGGTTTGTGGCCTGACTGTCACCAGCTGCAGAGGGGCAGAGTTTGCTCCTGCTGCACATCTGTGGCTCCCCTGTGTGAGCTTCTGCACTGGCCCAGCAAAGCCCTTGGCACCAGGAGCATGGCCAGGCTGGCACTGCCCTTTCTCCACACTCCCTCCCATGGCAGAGCAGCCCTCACACCCAGGGTATTCCCTCCTGGGGAGCAAGGAAGTTTCTGTCTTCATTGCTCGTAAAGAATCACATAAAACACATTTTTATTCCTGTTTTATTTGGCTCTGTCCATGCTGCACACGGCAGAGCTGAGCTGTGCCCTGGGGCAGGGCCTGCCCTGGTTGTGTTGGTCCCACAGGGCAGCTCAGGAGCCTCAGCCTCAGGTGGCTGCTGCAAACACCTCCCTCAGGAGCCCCACAGCATTGTCTCCATGTGGAACAGGCTGTGGAAAAGTTCTGTCTGTATTTATTTCTTTTATTTTCTGGTGGGTGTAATCTAGAGAGGCAGGAGGTGGAGGTACTGAGTGACCAGGAATGGTTGTGGTTAGAGGGATCTTCAAAATCATCTACACAACCCCCTGCCATGGGCAGGGACACCTCCCACTAGCCCAGGTTGCTCCAAGCCCCGTCCAACCTGGCCTTGGACACTTCCAGGGATGGGGCAGCCACAGCTTCTCTGGGCAACTTGTGTCAGGGCCTCACCACCCTCACAGGGAGGAATTTCATCCCAATATCCATCTAACCCTCCCTTATGGAAGTGGGAAGCCCTTCCCTGGCCCCTTGTCCGGCCAGGACAGACCCTGGCACAAGGCATCTCTCCACCTTCCCTACAAGCCCCTGCCTTAACACCCACCATTATCTCCTGTTGCTGCCTCTGCCTGTTAAAACCTCCCTTCATTTACAATCACAGCCTTAATTAACTGAGCTCAGCATTAGCCCCACCACCCTCCTCATACAACATTTCTTATGTCCATTCTAAAACTGACCCTCTTCCAGTTTAAAACACTCATCCCTTCTCCTCTCACAACAGACCCTGGTAAAAAGTCTCTCTCCCCCTCTTTTATAAACCCCTTTATGTATGGAAAGGCTGCAGCGAGGTCTCCTTGGAGCCTTCTCTTCTCCAGGCTGAACACCCCCAGCTCTCCCAGCCTGTCTCCACAGCAGAGCTGTCCCAGCCCTTGGAGAACTCCTGTGGCCTCCTCTGGACCTGCTCCAACAGGTCCATGTCTGCCTTGTGCCAGGGATCCCAGATCTGGATGTGGCACTCCAGGAGGGGTCAGAGCAGAGAGGGAGAATCCCCTCTCCCACCCTGCTGCCCAGAGCTGGGTATGAGCCCAGGAGGCACTCAGCATTCCATGCTACCAGCACACAGGGACTGATCATGTCCCTTTTGTCACCCACCAGCATCCCCCAGTGCTGTGCAGGGCTTCTCTTCATCCATCCATCCGTCCATCCATCCATCCATCCGTCCATCCATCCCCAGCCTGTGCTTACACTGGGGATGGTGCCAAATCTGGAGCAGGACCCTGCCCTTGTTGACTTTCAGGAGGTTTGCAGGGCCCTCTCCTCCAGCCCTGCAGGTCCCTCTGGATGTGACCAGGCACAGTCCCACCATCTGAGGTCACTGGTGATGACATAAAACAGGGAAGGTCCCAGTGTGGACCCCTGAGGCACCCACATGTTACTGGTTTCTGTTTGAACCTTGAGCCACTGCCTGTAACTCCCTAAATGCACCATCCAGCCAATTCCTTACCCATTTAGTGAGATCAGCTACACAAGACAGTGATTCCAGAGCTCCACAAGGCCAGATCCAGAGGGTATTTAGCTCCTGGCACATGGATCTGGAGACACAATTAACAGACAGTGGGACTTCATTCACCCAGCTGGGGGTCAGGGCCCTGGGCACCTTGTGTGGACCCAAATCAAAGCTTCTCTTGAGACTGAAACTTTGGGGTTTCCTGACAGTGCTGCAGAACAGTCACAAAATTCCTATTCCTGGTTCTCTGCCCCCTCCAGGTGCTCACAGATGCATTTACAACATTCCCTATGTGCTCTTTGCATGCCCTCAGATTCCCAGGGTGCTGTGGCGTTCTCTTGCTCACGGATGTCTTTCTGCAGGGATTGCTGGCACAAGTGTCTCCTCTAGCCAATACCTCCTTCCCTTTTCCATGTCCATCCCAGTGCCTCCAGCTCTCTCACCTCTCTCTGGTGAGGCAGAGGCCTTTGGAATTCTGAGGCTGTAGCTCCTCTCTTCCTGTTGTGCCAACATGGGCTGAGAAGCAGCAGCAAACAGGGACAGAAACTTCTCTCTTCCTCTGTTGCTCAGGAATATCCTGGGACAAAATGCAGAAATCTGCCCACAAACCAGGGAGCTGGTAAATCAAAAAGGTTTTGCTGAAGAGAAGGAATAAGGGGAGCTCACCAGGGTCCTTCCAGGACAGTTCACATTCAAGGCTCCTTTGGAGGTCTCGGGTTCATCCTCCTGCTCCAAGTAAGGCTAATCCAAAAGTTAGGGATTGCTCAGGGCATTTTGGAGGATTTTCAATGACAGGAATTTCCCCAGCCCTCTCCATGTAACTGTGGTCCCTTCTCTGGTGTTTAACCACCCTGGTGAAATATTCTCCTTAAGTAAGTCAGGATTCCCCTGGTTGGAGCTGGTGGCTGTTATCCCTTCACCTTCTCCCTGCTCTTGCTTCCTCATTTCTCCTGGAGTGGTGTTGAACACACACTAACAGCATCAGAGGGCTTTGACAGGGCTCTGGGAGGGGTGCTGGTGAGAGAATGAATATTCCCTTGTTTGGAGGCCTGTTTGGAGAACTTTCTCCCTAGATCTTGTGTTTCATCTCTGCAGGACATGTGGGGTACCCACCCCCTGTGTCATGCCCTGGGAGAGGGTTTTGAGCCTGTTCCCTGGAGTTCCTGGAAACTGGAGTCACTCCTCACCTCACCTGTGCAGTCTGTAAGTACAGGTAGAGTGCTGGCTGGTCTGGGAGGTGTTTGTCCACTCCCCCTTTTATTCCCACCTGTGGATCAGAGCCTGGAGAGAAGAACCTCCCCCCTCATAAACTCTCTGTAGCCCAGCCGTGGGTTTTAGCAGCTGTTTTCACCTCACAACAGGTGATGGTGTTGCCTGTGTGTTTTGGACTGACCTTCCCTGACATTTTAGGGCAAGCAGCACTTTTCCTGCCATTTCAGTGCCACCCCTGGGGCACCTGGCCTGGTCCAGCAGCAGCAGCCACCCTGGTCCGGGTGTTTTCCTGGGTGGAAGTGGCAATTTTAAGAGAGGCCATGTGCAGAAGTCAGTGGGAGCGAGGTCAGGCTGTGTCCCAGGGCTGGATCTTTGGGAGTGAGGAGCTGCTGCTGTCCCCATCACTACTGGCACCATGGTGGCATCACCTGGTGACAGTCACCTGCCACCCCTCGCTTTTGGGGGAGCTGCAGGTGACACGTGCCCCCAGCTCTGGGGTGCAGCTCCTGCCCGTCCCAGGATGCTGCCACTGCGAGGAGCACTTGGGCTGTCATTGGTGGGCTGCCCGCCGGTGTGTGGTGTTACTGGGAGGCACTGGGAGCCGGGCAGTGCCCACCACACTCCCCCATCACATTCACAGGGGGCACCAGCGCTGGGGACGGGTTTTTATTTGCACTGTGAGCTTTGAGAAGCCCCTGCTTGCGCCCCAAGTTAGGTCAAGGGGTTCCCTAAGGAGTTTTTTCACTTTATGTGGGTGTCGGGGGAATTTTGGCGGTGGAACCGGGGGGTTTTCCCCGGTGCCCCCCTCTCCGTGTGCGGGTGTCCCCAGGTCCCCGCAGTACCGATTCCATGCGCCAGGTGTGCGCAGTTGAGCCGCGCTGGCTCCGTTCCCAGGGATGAGCTCAGAGCATCGGGATTGGGAGCCGGGATCAGCTGCTCTCCTGACGCGCTGCTGACGCGGCTCCGCATCCTCCTCCGCATCCCCCGGCCCCCCTCACATCCCCCCTCCCCGCGACCTCCTTTTCCAAGACAAAGACGGGAAGTGCCGGCTGCGCACGCATCCTGCCCATCCAGCCCCCCCTCCCTCCATCCCCTGCTCTGAACCTGGAAAAAACAGCTCAGCTTCTATTTCAAGGAGCCTTTGTCCTCCCAAACAGCTTTCTTTGGGACATTTGTCTTTCTTTATTCTGCCTGTGACAAGAACATAATTGGGAGTGGGTCTCCATCTGCTGCTGGGGGGAAAAGGGGGGGCCCAGGGAGAAATCCCCTGTCCTGGCACACAAAGGCAGGACTTGCCCCCCTCAGCTGGCTTCACCAGGCTTTTGGGTGCTTAGTTATCGGGCATTTTGAGAGCAGGAACAGGGATTAGCAGTGTTTTGTGCTATTAAATGAAACAGGGATTAAATGAAACATTGTGCAAGCCCCTCTCTCTGTTGGGGGGCTCCCAGTGCATCTCTCCAGTGCCCCCCGCTCTGCCCGGTGCTCTCAGCCCCTTCCTGGGGCTGGTGCAGTGCTCCCCTGCTCCTGTCCCCCCCAGACCTCCTTCCCTGCTGGAATTGCAGCCCCAGCAGTGTTGGTGTACCCCGATCCCGGGCTCCCACAGATCCCGTTGCTCCTGCCCAGGCTGGGTCCACCCTGCTGTGTCACTGTGCTTTCCCAGCACTGCCATGCTGAGTCACTCAGGGAGTGCTGGGAATACCCCCGGGTTCCGGAGCCCCAGAGCCATGTTTTGCAAGCTTTTCAGTCCCCATTGCTCACGGGATGAGGTGTCCTGGCACCTCAGCTTTTGATGCCCCTTTTTATGCAGCAACACTGCAAAAATACCCCCTCCTCAGGTGCCCCTGCCCTGCCAAGCTCCTGCTGTCCCAGTGCCACCCTCACTTGTCCCCTGCCATGCAGGGGGCTGTGCCCACAGTATTTA